AAAACCACCAATTTAAGACAAGATGATTGTCTTTGCACAAGTTTATCGTCAGCAAACTCTGGAGACTCAATAATGTAGAATCCAGATTAGGGTGACCTAAGACTGTAGTCAGCTATGTACATCACAGTGCTGCTTCGGTGACCAAATCTCCAAGCTATGCTGGAACACCGCCTTTTGCCACTCTGCAAGCTATAGGGGTTTAAGCGTAATAAATTACACTTAGTAAATCTTCCCAAGAATGCTTCACAGCCTCCTTAGCTATTTCAATCTATTGTTCGTGAAAGAATCTGGCTTCCTGGGAGGCTTTTGAGAACAATTAAAAGCAGTAAAAATCATAACATGGGGGAAACAGTCCATCAGCTTAACTCATTTGTCAAAAAAATTAAAACTACCAAATCTGTTGTGACATCACAGGATATACTTCCATGTTGACTGGCACAGAACTATGCCATCTTATAAACAGTGCAACTAATTCATTAAAAGAAGCTTTGTAAAACGACCAAATATTTACATTCATGGATCTATAGCTATTCTTACTAGCACGAAACTATACTGTCTTATCGCTCTGAATCTGCTGAAGGAAGCTTCTAATTTATTATCCCATATTCACCATGCATCTAATTTTTGAAGGCATGCACAGAGGCCTGAAGTGGTCATGGGCCCCTACTTGCACAGCTTTGCAAGCAAAACCCGTCAAAAAACAGGAGACAGCAGTGAGGAGGCCTCTGGCACAGTCTCTCGTTTCACACCAGGGATACACTGTCGCGAAACCAAGCTAGCAGTACAGGCGCTCGCAAATCCTGTGACCGCAGTTTACACAGAGGCAGCCACCTGAACTTAAGAAAACAGAGCTGCCAAGTGCACCAAGAACCCCAAAACGTAAAAGGTTTTCATTGAGAAAAGGCAAAGTAAAACCAATGTTGACAGTCAATTTTTAACTGCTGCCAGCAGCTTAAAAAATGAAGGGAGGTTCATGTGAGACACCATTCCCTTTCTAACAACAACAGAAAAAGATGTTCTGTGAGGGGAAACTACAGGAAAGTGCATCTGAAACGGAGTGCAGGAGACATTCCTTTACAGAAGGTGTGGCAGCCTGGACCAAGCTTCCCAGATATGATGACAAGACAGATGCCCCTATTTCTTTCAGGAAACAGTTGGATGAGATGACTGGATCTATAATAAAACAGGTTAGGTTGGCCAAATATAATTCTCTCATTTGTAACCATTCTTCTATTCACTTCAAGGTTGTAAGACATTTTAAAATCAAACTGTTAAGGCTAGCAAAAGTTTTACAAATTCTACATCAAAGCACAAGCAAAAGGACAATCTGACTGTGATGCATAAACATTTATTCTAATTTGTTGTCAAATGGACACACATGTGCTCCCACATGTGGAGCAGGCTTGTGTTTCTACTCAAAACAAGATACATCTCCTGCAGTTTCCTTCTTCTTTAGGGGAGTCATTCAAAGATCAAGCTTTAGTTTTAGGACTCTTAACCAATTCTAAAACAATCCCAACTATTAGAAAGATGTAGAAGAAAGAGCAGTTACAACATTCTTCCCTGACTACAGCTTATTATCTTACATCCCTCAGAGTGAAAGTATGAACATAAATGAACGGGAAATGAAAATGTTAACAAAAACAAACACAAACAAGACCTCTGTTGCTTCAGAGGAGAAACTAACAGTAGTAGTGCACTGCTCTCCTGTGGTAATCACTTCTAAATTACAGCATGCCTTTATGTATAAGGTATGTCACCTACTGTGTCACCCTGTGAGCAGGATAACCAGGAATACACCATTTCCATGTGTGTACACAAAAGCAACCCCGGCAGCCAAAAAGCCCCAGGGTAATTTCATCCATCATGACATCCCTGCATGACTTTCCAGAACGTTATCTAAGGCACTGTTGTGCTTCTGAGCCACAGAAACGTCACTGAGACAGGGTCCCCAGCGCCTTTAGGGCAGAAATAAGGCAGAGCTATATCTTCTCTCCGCCAGTTCCCCCCAGTCAAAGTGCTAACACGGCACAGAAACGGCCGTGGAGCAGAAATCACAGGTAAGTGAGAGCTAGGCTGCGAAGCCCATCAGGTTATCTTATGCTTTCTGAGCACGGCAAACAGCATTCAATTCTGCGAGCGTCTGTGCTGAATGAACAAGTGTTCTCCTATTTACCGCCGTGTTTCTGATACGCAGTCACTCTCTCATTCTCCGCCGTTCGATCCCCAGGGGTGATATGATGTGTCACAGCGAGATATGCTCCTCCATGGCAGAATCTACTGAAGGGCAGGAACATTTAGGAGTATTACACGGATGATTACTCCCTGGATCAGAAGGCAACAGGCTAATCATCTATTTACAGTATTTATAAAGGAGGAGAAAGACGGATGGACAGAATCAGAGATCCTTTACACGTGATAATTTCCCAGATCAATTATTATATTGGTTAGGTGGACAGCTGCATTCACTTTCATTCATCATGTATGTCTCCCTGGCATTTCTGATTCAATTACAGACTTTGATTTTTTTTATTTTGTTTTTCTTAAGCAGGTAAACAGATTTTTGACAGAAAAATATTCAGCCGTGACCATAACAGCAGTACCATGTTCGACGTGGCAAATTTACTTGCACTGGGGGACCTGCCAGTTCCTTAATTTAATTAAAGACTTTCAGCCATGTGGCAGCATGCAGGTGTAAAAAACACTGAGTTAACAGAAGGGAAACTTCCTTCCTGATTTACGTAATTTCCTTAATTGCAATTAGCAACCTTCACTTCAATTGACAGAGTCTGTTACTTTTGGATTAAACAGGTGATCAAGTATACTCATCAAGCCTGCTGCCTTTTTTTTAATCCTTCACTTGGAATGACCATTCCAGAAATCATGCCTGTACCTGCAGTTTGCATGTTGAGCCAGAGGGACTGAATATCAACGAAGGTCACCCATTCTTACCTTCTGGCTAGTCATCTTTAATAGAACAATACAAAGATTGGACCACTATTTTAAAAGGCATGACACATGAATATCAGACAGGCCATGTGGCACAGAAGAAAATCTCTTAGGAACATCCAGACTCATTCTCAGGCTGCACAGAACTGGAAACTATTGATTGAAAATCCCATTTCACATGTGAATAATCCAAAAAAGAATTTATCGCTGTAATTCTTAGGTTTTATAAGTATCATTGGATTACTGATCAACTGATTTTGGTAATATGTACATTTCTCATTCAGATTTCAATCATGAACCACACAGAAGAAACTAACTACCCATTCATAATTCGGTCAGCACCAAATGGTTTTAATTTTTTACCAATACAGCCTCTGCATTCGGATCTATGCTGGGCAGCACCCAAACCTGCAAACTCATTTTCATTTTTCATTCTTGCTCTGACCTGGTTAAAGAATACACATGGGCTGCTAAATTAAACGTTATTCCACATGTGACCAAATGTAATTTTATTTCCATCAAACAATGCCAGACAAGTTTTAAAACAGACTGCTGCAAAAAATATTCTGAGAGGAATAATGACATTCATCTGACTGTGCCACGGCAGTGACCTAACCCCTCAGGAATTAAGATGGAATTAGTCTAAGATAATTATAAATGTTTTAATGACATTTCCCTGATTTTATATTCCAAAGTTAAAAAAGTCATCAAAAACTAGTTTATCTTGAATGCTACTGTACATACAAAAAGGTAGACAGTTGAAACATATCCACTATGCCTTGTCCAAATTGTCATTAGGATAATCTTTTCAATCCTGATCAGAAACATTAGCCAATTGTTTTTTTGATTGAGACGACAATCTGGCACAATGTCAGGAACTGTAATCTATAATCAATATCATTTTAAAGTAACTCAACACCTGGTAGTGAACAAAAACATTTATAAAAGTTGCATTCTCATTTCCCAGGTTTCGTCCGATTCATCCATTTTAAATGGGGCTTATGTGACACAGTTTGCTTGCATGTCTGTGTATAGACAACAGTGTTAAACATCTGATACATGCTGTGAACTAGAAATCTAATTTAAAGGTTTGTGGTGTATCTGCAGCCTTGTTTTTACCTTTTGAGACACTATGAGGCAAGTCTCGATTCAATCGTGGTGAGGATCTTAAAAAGTGGACTTCCCTCAAGAACTGTTTTTTATACCACAAACCCATGGAATACACTAATGCAATCTTACCTTAATCAAGGAGGAATCGGAAAAAGAGAAAATAGGACCATATAAAAAAGGGAAGAAAGGTGAGAGTAATCCACAAAGTAACAAAATAAATGTGATTTTAAGATAAGAAAATCTAGGAAATGAGAACATCCAGGGGGCAGAGGGCAGAAGATTCACATTGTTGAGCAGACAGTACATATTCACAAAAGCCACGGCATGAAAATTAGAGTGTGCACAACCTAATAACAGCTAAGCAGCACTTACTACCCATACAGTGTGCGTGGTAGAGAATCTGCTTGTGAAATGAATTCAGATTAAATATAAACATACTTTTTCATATATTTGTATATCCCACCACAGAAATACAGTATATATTGACATCCTCTGTCTACAGTAAAGTCATAAATGCGTTAAAAGTTGTAAATATTTCTGGCTCTGGAAAAACTGATTTTTGGAATGCAAAAAAACAGTGAGGCACACATTCCCCATGGACAGTAAAAGCTCACAAAAAAGGACATCAACCTCACTGGTGTTCACCTTGGGCACAGTACATTCTCTGCGTATTACTCGGTCGGCACGGTAGTGCATATAGTCATTATTCAAGGAAATGTGTCTCACTTTGATCCCTCTGTACAAGATTTCACTGCTATATCTTTTTTCACAACACTTATGTCTGACATGGCCAACAACCTTTATAAGCACCCTTTGCACAACATGAGTTCTTCAGTGACTTTACAATGCAGCTGGGACAAACCAGACACACACACACACACACACACCCACACACACCCACACACACACCCATGTAGGGGGGTCAATGGGTAAATTCTTACCTGTTGCTGCTGGAGGTGCAGTAAATCCACAGGGCTCACTTCACCATTGGTGTCACCGTTGGAACCACCCTCTCTCCCTCCACTGTCCGATTGGCTGTTCAGGCTGCTGACTCCATTTTGATTGGAGGGGGTTGTTCGAATGGTCTCAGTTGCTGATTCTACCATCATCACGTGTCACCTAGTGAGAGACGCACAAAGAAGGAAAAAAAAGGTTAGTAATGACCAGTAATGAACACAGTCCTGTTTCAAAAGCTGCTGTTCAGAGGTTCTTACAGGCACATGCAAATCTTTGAAAAAACAGCTCTTTTCATTTAAATGTCTCCTACATAAGCTTCCCTCAGGATCATTTAGAACAGAAATTCACTTCAATCTCACACGCCTCAGACCCAGGACCCACACCCAACTCCCCACAGCATCAGCCTTCAAAATCAAGGACAGTTGCGTTCAGCTTTTTTTTAAAAAAAACTCAACAAAGTAAGCTTACAAATGTCCCAACTCAAATATCTCCTCATTTACATTTGAACCCTTTGAAAGAGACACTAAAATTAGCAATCAGGCATCGAAACAAGCCCTACCTCTAAACAGCAGAACGGCAGCAAAAGGCAAGCACTAGTTAAGCTAGGAGCGCACAGAGGCACACTGTATGGAATCTGGAAATGCAGGGGGCATGATGCAGAGCTCAAAGAGTATTGTATGATGGGGAAAAAAGGAAAGAATTTTTTTCCAAGGTAATTCTTTTGAGTTTTGATCTTCTTTCTTTTGCTGTACGCAGTTCACTTTGTAAGTGAGGTTGGTGTATTGCAGTAAGTATAGGGAAACTAATTAGAAAAGGCAACTGCAACCAAAACAGAAGTTTTCCTCGCTCTTGTTTTGAAAATGCCATTCAATTACACGAAGATGTACTGACGGGCGCCAAGAACAGACTGGCAGCGTGGGAGAATGAACGGCTAAATATGAAAAGCTAGAATCTTCAGTAAGCAAATTGCAAAATCCAAATAATGACTACTGGTTTCTTGTATTTCTGCCTTTTCCAGTTTAAAAGAAAGTTTGCATCTCACTACCATCACCGCGGGACAGGCAAACGGAATGTAAAAAACCCATCACCAACTGCCTTCTGGGAAATAAGAAAAACAAAGCAGCAGTAGCTTAGCCCTCAGAGCACGACTAAACAAACACCTCTAGCTTCAAAAGATCGTCAGTTTCTTCATTTTGAGACAGGAAACTAGGGATGCGCTACAATGCATGCTGGTTTTAAAGGTCAGACATTCTACAGTGGAGGAATACCGCCCTTAAGAGCACTAACTGGACAAAGAAAATATTTTTTGAGGTAGTTTTGTTGGCTGGCCACAATTTCTTTGATCTAATCAGTCATGCAGGCTTTACAAAATATGGCACTTTCTACAATTAAGCTCAAAATAATTTACTGCAGTTTTAAGCACTGGAAAAACAAAGCTATCACTGACAAAAGAATGCTATAGTACACACAACGTATGACCATACAGGGGCAGTGTGATTTGTCTTCAGTAAAAACACACAGCTCAGCTTCTTTGTTCGCAGAGGAAAAGTATCACTTTGTGTTTTTTCTACATTAGAACTTTTCAAGACTGCCCTATTGCCCTTTCAACTTTCAACCTGACCCTTGGATATCTTGCCTGGGTTGAAGTATAAAAGCATTTCAATGACAACACAGGACTGACACATGAGGTGCCGAAGGAATATGAAATAAGGTTCTTCCACAACAAAAATGTTGTCCTAAGTGTTTGAAAAGGGGCTGAGGCTATAAGTACTTGTACCTTGTTATTTTACCCCCCACCATTTCAACATTTAAACTCTTACAGCACAAGATGGTTCATGATGATTCACAGAGAGTTTTAAAATCCCTTTGAGTTCAGAATTCAGCAGCATATCTAATCCTTGAGAATAATGAATAATCACTGGTTTCAATTATATTATATTGCCCATCGGAGAAGACCACTGCTTGCGAACAGACAGGATGGGGATTGTTTTAGGGGCAAATAGCAGGAATGACAGGAAACGATCACAACTAAATAAAAGGAGAAGCCTGACAATTACGGTAATGCACTAAACTGAACCACCTGTGAAATATGTTTCCTTCCACCTCTCCTCACACTACTATCCTTTCTTTTGTTTCAGTTACATCTTCCGGCATCAGCATTTATGTCCTGACACTTTTTTATTGCCTTCGCTTCAATCTTCTGATTGTTTACCCAAAACTCCCAGTTGCAAGTTTTCTTTCACTACTCTGCACCTCTCTCTTGTCTGACTGGGAATTCCTCTTAATAATCTTTACCTGTAAGAAAAAGTAGCAAGAAGAGCAGAAACACAGAGCTCCTCCTGGCAGGTTGTGACATTACCAGTTCAAGACTTGTCCCATCTTGCCATGCTCTAAAACACCTTCTAGTTGAACTCCGACCTCTAACAATACACACAGGAGCGTTTTTCACTCTTTAGGGGATTCTTCACCTTTGAACAAAATCACACATATTTAGGCTGCACAGGAAATTAAAGAATATTTTGCTATTTTAATTGGTAAGAAAGATGCATAGGGCTGAACATGCCTTGACTTCGAGAACTAAATTAACGCCTATGGTATAAGAATTTGATCAGCACTGCCATTTTTACACATGCAGTGAAAGACAAGGTTAGTGGATTTGCCCAAGAAGAAATTTTTTGCAAAACAAGTAGCCTCAATCTATTTTCTACACTTGAGCTGTGGTTGTCATTGCTGAAATTCGATAAGACCAGAACAGCACACTGCTACTACATAATCTGACTGCGCTGAAAGAGTCTTTGTTAACTTGTGCCAGTTTAGCATGCCAAATAGAACACCATGTTTGGAAGAGCAGGTGAAAGGCTCTGATTTAGACAAAGATGTTGACCGTATGCAGAACTCTTCTACTGTTATATCATCAGGTTTTTGTTAAGTATGTTGATTCACTGTTTTTTCAATCTCTCTAAATCACTTTGCTGAATTCAACTACAGTTATCAAGTCAGCCTATTTTTCTGTGTTTAAAGACAAAGGCGTAGGCCAAGTCTTGGTAATGTGCACGTCTTGCACACTAACTTGCCAAAATGTCAAAAGACTCCACATCACACAAATGGGCTCTCTCACTGGCAGGACAATGAAGTTTACTTGAAGAGTACTAGACAGACAACATCTTTCTGGCCAAGAAAATCCCCAGATCTCATTCTTATTCATCAAATCAATCAATCACACACTGCATTACCCTAGGCTCAAACTTGACTGAAGGCCATGTTGCAAGAACAATGTCAATAGACTGGGCTGTAAACATTTCAGAAACTAGTGGCACACATGCCTTATCCTAGACAAGCAGTTCTTGTTTCTTCCAGAGTCCAGCAAATCATTTGGTAGAGAATTCACAATATTGTAGCCTTCGTAAGAGACAAACCCAGGCACTGACCCCAGGTTTGGAGAAAACAAAGAAGCTTATGTCAAACAAAGACACCATCAAGCAGAATTGACGTCTAAAACTGGTCAAGGAGGGTTAAACTGGTTTACTTAATTTGGTCCCAACTGTATTTTAATAGATACATTTAACATTGTTTTAGTTGAGGAGAGATGTTAGGTTAAACAAAATAAAAACAGAAAACCCATTTCCCAGAGAAGAGAAATTGTTGAATGTCTGTTTTGCTTTGCACCAGCATGACAAAAGAATGAGAGCTTTTCATTTTTTTTGCAGATAATTCAGAGCCTAATATTGCCATGAACGCAGTATTCAAAGTGAGGATGAGTGTGGCCTTAGAAGGAGCATGGTGGAAGTGGTTTTGCTGTGCCAGGTAGACCTCTGACTGTGGCCTGAGAGGGTGTGGCGTGGTGTTGTGTAAATTACTGCTTTCTCTGCAACAGGTGGGGCAGATGTTTTGCTCCAAGGATTGTGGGAATATTCATACAGAGATCAAGTTCAGCTTAGCATGCCTGGAGGGAGGCTTGTGTAATAAATAATTTCAAGAAGTTGTCTTTTCATTGTTGTTTCTGCTTTAAGAGACCTATACATGAAAGAAGTTGAAAAGAACAAGCATAAAGACAATAATACAATAATTAATAAGAAAATAAAGTAATATGTGCATCTGCATTTCTCTTTCATAATATCATGCTTATCAAGAACCACACATTTCCAGGCAAGTTTCCAGTACCAGACTGACTAACCTATTTAACTACCTGTTGACTTCCATTCTTCAGTACAATAAAAAGGCTACAATGAAAACAAGCCTATCCATAAATAACTTTTACATATTTTCCATATAGAACAACACACACATTAACCCCTAGCTCTGCACCTGGAAAGGCTGTGCTGAAGCACAGGGAAAACAGCACAATCCCAAAGAACATAAGTAAGGTTGGGGGTGAAGAATCAGCACAAAGTAAAGTAACATTTATAAAAACCGCTTAATGTTTTAGTCAACAGACAAGTCAGTTTTGATATGTGGGGTCACAGACTCCAGACGGAACCCTTGTCTGTCAGGGTCCATATAGTCAGTCTGTCAACAACTTCTTGGTTTGCCTGTCTACTTAGTTCACTATCTCCAGTCCCAACAACAAGCCCTGAGCTGGGCTTCTGCTCTGAGCCCTCGTTGCCTGAACCATTCGTCAAAGGTGGAGGAATAAAGAAGAGTATTCAAGACTGATCTAAACCTAAACCTCACTTCTACCCAGCTCCCTTACAAAAGTAAACTGACAATTTTGGCAAATTCTGCATCCTCCCTTAAAAATGCTTTTCTCATTGCACACGTTGATGTAAAGAGAAATCCCTCGCAGTAGCATAGACTGCACATGGATTGTTTTGAACTTTTGCTGTGGAAAGAGGGTTTCCAGAACACCATCGTCTACTCCTAGAACTCAGTTTAGCAGTTTCAATATTTCCAGCAGTTCACATTGTGGTGTTTAAGAAATGAAAATGATCTGGACTTTAAGCCATGGGGCTGCAAAGTTACCAACTGTTTCTGAAAACACTTGAAGCATTTCACTAGTCGACTTCAAAAATACAAAATAGCAACAGCTTCCCAGCATGTTTATGAAAATCACACCCTACCTCTTGGTCTCTCTGCCTTTGTTTTACAACCAAAAGAAATTCTGACATTTACTAAAATTTAAAAGAATTTTCCACATTTATTTCATGTTATTGTTTTAGTCTTTT